GGGGGGGGGGGGGGGCGTGGCGGAGGTGAGACCCTGTGAAACAGGTTGAATCACAACAAACTAGAGAAGCGGAAGTGGGACACTTTTTGTATTTTCAATGTATAATAAGTAATTCTTTATGTCTGTCGCACCATATCTAAAACTGGATCAATATTGAGGTTTATTTTGATGTGTTTATCGACGGCAAGGTAATCACTGCTTCACTGAATCAACCTGACCTCATTATGCCAGTATCAGGTTTCTGTTCACAATAACGTTAGCATTAATTAGTGATATTATTGACAAGTTCAATTATTTGAAGGGAAGTTTTAAAGGGGAGGCGTGGATTGCCATATCAAGGTTGTCTTTATAAGTTCGGAAAATTATAAGGAAGCTGTAAATATTTTAAGTACTGTTTAATAAACGAGTAGGAGTGTTTTATAACATACTACGACGCGTAGCGGAGTGTTTTATATGTGATAAAACACGAACTACGAGTTTATTAAACAGGCAAACAGCTTCAAGAAGGTCTCAGTTAGATCACGGCATTGGCGAAATGATTTTCCAAAATAACTTTGTATTAGCTGTGAAAATACAAGTTGAAATTTGAAGCGTGTTTTATCACATATAAAGACACGCCACGCTTATGATTTCTCTTTGTGTTTTCCTCATGAATTATTAATGAGTTTTTGAAGGGATAGGTAAGGTTTGGAAATGAGCAAGTTTTAATTTCGGCTCATATGGAATCTTTGTTGAAAATTGATGAGATTATAGGTCCTTAGGTAACATGAAAGGGTTAAGCATTCCTTATACTCATGTTGCGAATTGTATTACGAATTTCAAATCACTTAGGCTCGACACCAATGGCTATGGTTCACTTCGAATTCCCATATTAAAGGACAGATTGCCTGATGATTGAGATTATAATATGATAATTTATCGACAATTTTGTGGGAAAGTCTGGAATTTAGATGAAGTCTTAAGTGATGGAATACTTTGGCAACAGTGAACTTAGAGCCCAAGAAAATTGTAGCCAAGTGGATGCCGAGTACGGAGGTCATGTAAATTTATTAAAATATAGACAATATAAAAGGTTGGATAGTTCTGCTTTTTATGTCCGAAAATCAACATTTAATTTTTATTTTGCTCGTATCTTTTTAAATTAATGTATTATGTAATTATAGATAATTCAGAACTATGGTTGAGATGTTACCGCGTATAAATATTTGTAAATAATAATAATAATAATAATTGAATAATAATAATAATAATAATGGAAACTTTATTTATTGATTATTAAGATATATACAACTACAATGATAAACCTCGCTTTACAGGTAGTTTATCAATGTCTACTTGAATTGATACTATATATTTATTGTACAATAATTATTTTAAGAAGGATTATATTAACATTAATTTTGGGTTATCCCACACCTTGTTTCGTTTATAAAATACATAATATGATATTCGTATGCATATGTTCACGATTTGTTTTTTATGTATTTACTATACTTGAATAATAATAATAATAATAAAATAATAATAATAATAATAATAATGTAATGTTTGTGATGTTACTCTGAGTGTATCACGGTGAGAATCGAACCTACGTCTACGACCTTTGGAATACTAGCCCAATTAATGCTCTGTCTCCAATTAATGAGTCTAGTTCCTTCGATGCTAATGCAATCTAGTAATATGATTTTTTCTGTGTTGGTGTTGTGTACTCAGGTGAATATGATGTTTGTGATGTTACTCTGAGTGTATATCCACACCGGACAAGCTTGAAAAATATGCCTGGCCACGGTGAGAATCGAACCTACCGATTAATTAACCTAGGTTCGATTCTCACCGTGGCCAGGCCTATTTTTCAAGCTTGTCCGGTGTGGATATAATACACTCAGAGTAACATCACAAACATCATATTCACCTGAGTACACAACACCAACACAGAAAAAATAATAATGTAATGTACGAAAATGGTTCTACATGCGATATGTTACAGCCCAACTACAGCCTCGTACGCAGGCTCTTTAGTAATTAACAGCGTTCTGAGCTCTGGGTGAACTAGGCGAGCGGGGATTCTTGGGGAGGTTGCTAAAAGCTCACCCAGAGCTCAGAACGCTATTAATTACTAAAGAGCCTGGGTACGAGGCTGGCTCAACTACATTATAGCATTGGCATTCCATTGGCTAACCCCCTGTGGTCTGGTGTCAAGTGTTCATAATAGGCGATTGCTTTCTGAAATGTTCTTATTGTTAGTCAAATCAAATGTATATATATATATATATGTTCAATTAGAGTGTTCGGTTTCAAGCTTGTATCTTCAAATGTTCATCTTCTACTACTTTACTTACGCAAAGAAAAATATTGACAGGGTGCATATATTATAAATATTATTAAGAAATTAAAATATCTTTGTAAAGCGCACGATGCTCTGGTCTTGGGAATTTAAAGCAGCTTCTTAAACAGTTCTTTATGCATGAAATTTACTTATGTCAAGCTTTTATGCACTTGTAGTTAGTTTAGCAGAGTGCTGGCAGGGCCGTAGCTAGACACGATAATTGGGG